CTCATGCAGTTTGTATCTCATGCAATTCGCCATCCACCATGCTCATGTGGCATAAAAGGAGGTATTAATGAGAATATATTGCATGTATAGAGTTAGCTTGAAGGAGCAAAACATTCCTTTAAAAGGGGACTGGGAATAAATTTTTAAAAACCCTTCAGTTTTAAAGGTTAGTGAAGTCCAAAAAGATCTAAAGAGCCACAGGTTCTCCATCACTAATTTAGTCCAGTATTTACATGAAGAGTTCTTTTTAGACAAAGGTATCTACTTCTCCCCTGCTGCAACCAAGGATTCTTTTATATAGAGATGTCAAAGACTGACCTTGGGAACACCTGCATGCAAACCATGTGATCTTATGCACTGAATCTGTATCCATTGTAGTTTCCGGGTTTATTTGTTTGCTAGCTTGTGGAGTGGGAGACGAGGAAGAGTGTTGGAACGTACAAATGAGAATTTGTACTTGTAAAAAATTAATTTAGACCAAGCAAGTTGAGACATGAATACAAGTTGAAAGATTCGGTTATCACTATTTCCCAAGGCTGTGTTTCACTGCACTACACATTATATTACTGTAGGGGGGACAGAGTGAAATCGAGATGCCATTTAATATATTTTTAAATAACGTTTTCCATTGTTTTTTGGGGGGTTATTGCAGGTTATAAGGAAGGGAGAAGTGAGCTGCTGCTGGATCTGCACAGCTTGTAAGGAAAATGAGTTTGTGCAGGATGAGTTCACATGCAAAGCTTGTGACCTGGGATGGTGGCCCAACACAGAACTGACAGGTATTGCAAATGAGAGGGAGAGTGTGCTTAAATACAAGGGGGAAATGCCATGACACTAACAAAAGTGTGTGTGTGTGTGTGTGTGTGTGTGTGTGTGTGGCCATTGGTCCATTGAGCTACATATTGTTGACACTAACTGGGACTCGCTCTCCAGGGTTTCAGGGAGGGATGCTCCATTCCTGGAGGTGTCAGGAATTGAAATCTTGTGGCTGGTTCACGCCTCTGTTATATACTGAGATCTTCCTCAGAGGCCCTTCTCTGGGTGCCCATGCCATTTATTTAAGGTGGGGATCAATGGAGAAGAGAGCTGTGGCACCTCACTCATGTAACTTTTTTCTTAGAAGCTCATCTAGTGCCTTTGATCTGCCAGGCACAGAACTTTTTATTTTCTCACGTATTCCGTGTATTTATCCCCTGCTATTATTGTTTCCAGCATGGCCTTTTTCTGTTTGGGGTGTGTGTTTGTGTGTTTATCAGGTATTGTAAACCACTCTGAAAATGTTGAATTAAAGAGTGGCAAATAAATAAATCAAGGGTCTTTAGGCATCTTCTCTCTCTTAAAGATGGCCTTCAAGTCATTAACTCAAGCTTGTTCCAAACGCTTGGAAATGTATATTTTAAAGAATCTAAAACAGCAGGTATATTTACAATAGTTTATCACCACATGTCTTATTATGCTTGACTATAGCAGCACTGAGTCTGTTGGAACATTGTGAGGGAGTAAAATTGTGTGCGACAAATAATTATTTAAAACATCCAACCCATTTCCTAGAAACGTCTATGCCTTTTTCCTGTGCACAGCAGGCACATAAAATGCAAGCATATACAGACATTACTGTACATTCCCATGCCTACACTTTCAAAACAATAACTTTTAGCTAATCAAATATGTTAGCACATGACATTGGTCAGTTAGCATAAACATGCTAAGAAAATAAAAATGATATAAAATAGAAATAGATGTAGTTTTCTGGCTCTACAGGTCACACCACCAAACCATGTTCTCAAATGATCATGCTGCTGGATTATGCCAGACAGAATAAGAACTGGTATACAGGTTATTAACAGAGTGTGTTTATATTTAAAAGAAAAGCAGTGACTATAATTAATCCTTTTATTATCTAGCTTTGCTTAATAATAGCAAAAATATTCCAAGTTCTTTCTTTCTTCTCTTCCTTCTTTCCTTCTCTCTAATTTAGTTTTTGCATAGAGTGAAAAAATTCTACCCTTCCAATATTGGGATGGAGGTATAGAAATAAACTATAATTATTTGTAAATCATTATTGTGTATGTAAGCCACCCTAGAAATGTTAGAGTTATTGGGTATAGACTTTAAAAATAAATTACACTTGATAAATAAATATCTGTTAATTCAAAGTTTCTCTTTGGAAAAAATGCTTTTTCTCTAGCTACATATTTAAATTTATCTTTCTTTCTTTTCTGTATCCTTTAGGCTGCGAACCCATCCCTGTAAAATATCTGCAGTGGAGTGACATTGAGTCCGTTGTGGCTGTGGCTTTCTCTTGCCTGGGTATCCTGGTCACCCTATTTGTTACGCTTATCTTTGCCCTCTATAGGGACACCCCTGTTGTCAAATCCTCCAGTCGGGAGCTTTGCTACATTATACTTGCCGGGATCTTCCTTGGCTACATCTGCCCCTTTACCCTGATTGCTAGGCCCACTGTCACCTCATGCTACCTCCAGCGCCTCCTCGTGGGGCTTTCCTCTGCCATGTGCTACTCTGCCCTTGTAACCAAAACCAATCGCATTGCACGCATCCTAGCGGGGAGCAAGAAAAAAATTTGCACCCGCAAACCACGCTTCATGAGTGCTTGGGCCCAAGTCCTCATTGCCTCCATCTTGATCAGTGTGCAGCTGACCTTGGTGATTACCCTGATCATCATGGAGCCCCCTTTCCCCGTCCTTTCCTACCCCAGCATCAAGGAAGTCTTCCTAATCTGCAACACCAGCAACTTAGGTGTGGTGGCCCCAGTGGGCTACAACGGACTCCTTATCATGAGTTGCACTTACTATGCCTTCAAAACTCGCAATGTGCCCGCCAACTTCAACGAAGCCAAGTACATTGCCTTCACTATGTACACAACATGTATCATCTGGCTGGCCTTTGTACCTATATACTTTGGGAGCAATTACAAGATCATCACTACTTGCTTTGCGGTGAGCCTGAGTGTGACAGTAGCTCTGGGGTGCATGTTCACACCCAAGATGTATATCATCATTGCCAAGCCCGAGAGGAACGTCCGCAGTGCCTTCACCACTTCAGATGTGGTGCGTATGCATGTGGGGGATGGGAAGACACCTTGTAGGTCCAACACTTTCCTCAGCATATTCCGGCGGAAGAAGCCAAGTACTGGAAACCCAAAGTAAGTAACTTGACTTTGTGCATCTGTCAGTCTTCGTTTTTCACTTTCTTAGTCTTTTCCCGTTTTCAGGAACCTTCTTACTTTTTCAACAAGGTTTGTGATTCTGCTACAACTTCTTTACATGAGGAAACAATGGAGGAAATGAAATCTGAACTCTGGCATAGTCTACAAGAATAACCTGTTCTTCTTCTCTGCTTCTCCTGTGCTACGTGTCAGGTGCAACAGGCCTACATGCTTTTCTGCCATTGACCCCCAATCCTGCCTTTAACCTATTCTGCATAGACATGCATACAAAATGGTGCTCACTTTTTAGCACTGTAAAGTAGCAACAAATCTTGGTAGCCATGTTTCTACATTTGTCCAAAAATATTTTTTAATGCTTATCGCAGTATTGCCACATATGAAGATGGCAGCCCCCGGCTGGTGAGCAATAATCCCTATTATACTTGTTGACTGGTTAAGACTGAGTTGAAAAAGCCAGCCCGAACACTCCTGTCTTGGAAGCAATATTTAGTTTGAAATACAGCTTTGCATTGATTTTCCCCAGCCTAGAGCTTAGGAGACAGCTGTTGCTTCAAGCAATGAAGCAGTTTTGACCGGAAGCTTAAATAGGAGCTGTCAGCCAACCCCTGATCTGAGCAGGTGCTTCCATGCACCTCCACTCCTCCCATGTAGCTTCGCATGCAGCTACCCAGGCATTTCATCAATGGCTATGAAGCTCCTGCTTGGTTAGCTGACTTTTCTGCTTCTGAGGCCCAGGGGCAGGTACGGAGATCTGAGAGCCAGCCAGGAACCCAGGCAGGTGGTGTGGGGATCTCCTGTCCTGGGGCAGGGGGATCTGTGTCCATTTGCTCCCTGGTGGAGCTCTGCTGGATGGTTTTGCACCCCCTGCTCCTCCTCTGAGGAGACCTCAGATTTGAGGTCTGGGCAGGGCAGAACCCCAGCAGTGCGCTTTCAATGTAGTCCTATCTATGGCAGGTAAATAAACTGGGAGGATTTTTAACTGCTATTCCAAATCCAGGATTTTCAGCTCTCTTGCTTAGCATAATATGAACAGCCATGATGGAGTGGCTACTCTCACCCAAACCACCTTGCAAGTAGTCTGGGAAAGCTATTGAACTGTGCGGCACGTTTCTAGCAATCAGTCAAATTCAATTTAAACCAATGTAGACTTCAGCTGACTGAATATTTCCCTAAGAAATAGTAATTCTCAAATTGTTTATGGATCAGGTTTCAAGGCTTGGTAAGGAAATTACATCTTCTTGCTCTGTTATATGAGAGTGACAGAGCCTTACAAAAAGTTAACCTAAACGTTATTATTTTTTTACACTTCAAGATGAGGAATCCCAGTAATTCTTCTGTCTAGAGATATAATTACATACAACCCTTCCAAAGGAAATTAACAGTTAGATATTTGTTGAGCTAGATAGAGAGTATGGGATGGGATGGGATGGAACGGAACGTCTAAATCTAGAAAGATTAAAGGGATTTCTCAACAGAAAAAAACAGAAGTATACACTCACTTTTATAGTACATGGTAGATGGTTTTGGAGAGTTTCATGAACATCATCAGACTATTGCTCTTGTATTATATGCATAGTTGATTAATCTAATAGGATTTTAGCCAGTCTTATTTCAATCTTGGACTTGGTGGCAACAGTTGTCTAACGTAGAGTAATAGATAAAGATGAACCGGATCATCTTGATTAACTCTGCAGAAGTTTCAACTCTACTGGATGTCCTAGTCTGATGTCACCAAGGTTTTAAATTTTGGATGGTTTTGAACCAATTTTCTGGCCATCTGTTTCTTTCACAGAGTGCATGCGAAAGAGACAGAACATTGTAAACTGCAATATAGAGACAGGTACTATTTTCCTTGAATGTAATTCAACGTAATTTTCACAACTCTCAGTATCTTTTCTCTCTGAAATAACTTTATTTGTTGGGTAAAGGTAATGGGTAATTGCTGTTGATGTTTCGCAGTCAGTAACAGACTAGGTTCTAAGGATTCTCACCAAAGTGATTTTGTGCGCCTTGAATCACGAGCAACTTCAACCACTCTTTTTCTCCACTCTTAGCAATGATTTCAAATCAACTAATAACAGAACTTGGACTAACCCCTTCAAATGTAATTTTGAATGACAGGGAATGGAACTAAAGTGGAGGAGCAATATTTGCCTTCTATATTGTTCATTCATAATTTAGACTTTGCACTCAACCTTAAATACATATTACAAGAAAACGTTTCTCTTCCTTTGGCCACTAAACAATCTGATGCATTTTGAAAAGCACTGAGCACATTCTTGGGATATTTTCCTTCTCTCTCTCCCGCTGGCTCTTCCCCACCCAGGAAGTATGTAATGACTGAAACAAACAAAAACAAACGGTCATTGTACCTTTACTGTGACCTGGAACTAAAAGCCAATTAGTTTGTTAATATGCCTTCTGTATTTTGTGTTTGTTCATGGCACATGGATCATTAACACACCCAAAATAAAAGCAGCAATGTGACCTAAGTCTCCTAATAGGCTGTTGGTGCCAGCCTTAGCATTCACAAGGGCTTGCTTGCAAGGCAGGAATATGCTGCTGCAGCAGCAAATCTGTTTTCAACAGCCATGCTATTATTATGCACCAACATAAACATGCTGATGGGCATCCCAGAAGATAACTTTGGCTTTAAAGCACTGCGTCAGCAGCCCAAGATAAGCTATATTTGCACTTCTTGAGAAGATAATCATAGAGTTGGGAGAATTCAATGATCATCTAAGGCAGAGAGGCTGGATTTGCCATGACTAAGCCATCTCTGACTGATGTTTACTCAGCTTGATGTAGGCAAGAAAGCCCACACAGCTTCCCCATCTATTTCCCTGGCCAGTAGCTCCCCCACTAGCCTGACTATAATATGTAATCTTACCTTTTCGTCATGTAAATCTGCTACCTCTTGTTAGGAAAAAGGCACTTAGCCAGTTGCTGATTCCTAATGGAATAAACAAGGGAAACAGTTGCTATTCTGGGAGGATATCTGGGAAGATAAATTCAGAAAGAGAAGACTCAATGTCCTGAGGATGCATTGCAAATATATGACCATAATAGTGGAAGTATGAGTTGATTCTCTACTTTTTAAAATTCAATTTCAGAGAATTTATTTTACCTTTCTAACCTTTGTTATAGATACAGAAATGTGTATAGATAACTGGTTTCTAATTCCTGTGTCAAAGAATACTTATCAATAGATCTAGAGCATTAACCTCCTTTATTTAGGGTCTCATAAGTTCTGGCTAAAGACCGTTTCTTTGGAGCATGACACAGAGCAGGGTTGCTGCCATCAGCCTTCAATGGACTGCTTCGTTTTCCCAGGCTAAAGGCATGTTGCAAAGCATCTAGACACTTTTTAAACTGTTAACAACAGTTTGACAGTAGTCCTAGAAATGTTAAATCAAGAGAGATACTTTAATTGGTGAAACACTGAGAGACAGACTTCAGTAAAAGGAGCAATTCAAAAATGGAAAATAAACAATACAACTTGAGATGAAGGTCAAGTGCTGGTGTTAAACAGAACTCAAAATGGATTAATTCAGTGCAAACAGCTGTCCTTATTTGCTCTGTAGACACTGAATTCCTTTAAATTGTTGCTCATCTTCATTTTTCTTGAACGCTCACCTGTCCAAAGCCTGATTTTGATTGTAAGTGAAAAAGCTGTTGGGAGGTCATTCTTAACTCACTTACTTGGAAGTTAAGTTCCACTGAAATAAATAGGGCTTATTTCCAAGCGATGATGTTTAAGGACATGTTATGAATTCCTGGGGAAAGGGGCTGGACTGTTGTTTTTAAACAACTAAATTAGCAACCCTGGGAAACAGAGAAATAATATGAAACAACGTTTATCAAGAAAGGAAAATAAGGACAGGAAGGAAGGAAGGCAGGATATTCATTCAGTGGGGCAAAAAAAGAAGAGATTCATTCATGCATTACATAGAGGGTGTGAAATGGGTTATCCTCAGCTATGAAAAAGCATTTTTTCTAGCTTAATCTTTCAGCATGTGACTCTGCCTAATAAATTCACTTAAAACTCTCCAGATTCTGCACTTAATAAAAATAATTCCATAAAGAATTTCTAGTTTAGTATTCTGAAAGATAGGCTATTTATTATTAAGTGATTTGGCCAACACCCCACACCGTATGCTGGAAAGCCAGGGTGATAACTCACCCTTTAATTGCCCAACTCAGCTATTAAACCCAGAGTTCACCCTTCCTCTTTCTGTAGCTCCGTTCATCAAAATATATTTACCACAAATCATTCACCGTCCCATTTTGGCACAGACTAAAGCAAAGAGTCTAGAGTGAATACAATGTAATCAAATACCTCATTACTCACTGCTGTAGGATAAACACTTCTACATTGTAAGATGCCCATGAAGGAAGGAATTTCAAAGGTATCTCTTTACTGAGAATCCATAAATGTCCTCAGAAATCCTGTGGGATGGAAACATTTACTCCTCAGAAGCTTTGGAATGGGTTAGAGGGCCCCATATGTTAATAACCAGATGTTGTACTTTGCTTTGGGATTGATTTTAATGAAGAGTGGGCTATAAATCAGATAGATAGATGATAGATAGATAGATGACAAATAGGCAGGCAGGCAGGCAGGCAAAGAGACAAACAGACAGACACATAGCTGCTGTGGTCACCCCTGGGCCAGCACATCATCCCTGTCTTGTGGGTGAAAATGTGCCTTGGCTCTTACCATCTTTGCAGATGCCTCTTAATTTTTCTCATAGAAATGTCTCCATCATAGGAAGTCTGTCTCCCACTGGAGCACTATGACAAGCCCTCAGAAGAATGCAAACTTGATCAGTGGTGCAGCTAAAAACATGTACACCAGCTCCATAACTAATGTCCCTCTGTCTTTTCAGTAGAGAAGACTGCCATACCTCTAATTTTGATCTCTGTAATTGCTATCGTTCATGCTCAGTGCATTTTTGAGCTATTATTTATTATTTCTTTGTGAAATGTATAATGCCCTCCAGCAGGTGACCCCAGGGCAGAAAATACATGGGTTCATTAAAACACAGCACAGTAAAAAAGAAGATGGAGAAGATAGAGGAGGAGGAGACACATAGGCATGTGGTACCCAATTTAGAACGGCTTGTATCAGTGCTTCCCAACGGTGTGCTCTGACCCACTTGAAAAATAAGGCACCATGTAACAGCAGTGGCATAGCATGGGGGAGGCAGGGGGACCGTGGCCCCAGGCACAAATTTCTGAGGGGGCACAACCAGGCACCCCCACAACAGATTCTCTCATCGAGGCTGGAGCTGTGAAGAGGCAAGCTGCTCCCGGGTCGGGCCTTTGGGGCTAGGGCTGCAGCGGTGCCTCCTTCTTCTTGTGGCCAACAAAGGGGTGCCTGTGTGCACCCCACCCCTGAGCCAGCCAAGAGGGAGGGAGGGGGAGGGCACCACCACCCACTGAGGACAAGGGGAGGAAGAGAAAGGTGGGAAAGCACTGTTGGAGCCACATGCGTTGCCCAGAGCGCCACACTGCAAGGACAGGAGGGCAAGGCAACACAATGGCATTCCTAGTTTCACGTTTCTCTGCCTATCTCTGCTTCCAGGTTGGGGCTAGTTTGCAAGGAGAGACTCCCTTGATTAGACGCTGGCCAGTGAAGGGCTTGAACGCTGCCCAGTCCACCAGATGGGCGCAATACTTACCCCACCCCGGGCGCTGGCAACCCACACTATGCTCCTATGTAACAGTCACTCTGCCTGACAGAACAGGGATTGTGATGGAATTTCCTGATACAACATGGGTTAGTTACAGTTGATAGGTGAGGGACAGTTGATAGGTGAGTTACAGTTGATAGGTGAGGGACAGTTGATAGGTGAGGGATATTTTTGAGAGTCAAAGCATTTTCTACCTGATCAGTCCCATCCACATATTTGCCAACACTTCCAGAGAACTCTAAAAGGAAAGTCATGCTGATTCTTCTTCAGCAAGACTTGTTCTTCTACATGCTTGGTAATTCTATACAGTCGTACCTCGGGTTAAGAACTTAATTCGTTCTGGAGGTCCATTCTTAACCTGAAACTGTTCTTACCCTAAGGTGCCACTTTAGCTAATGGGGCCACACAATTTCTGTTCTCATCCTGAAGCAAAGTTTTTAACCTGAGGTACTATTTCTGGGGTAGCAGAGTCTGTAACCTGAAGCGTCTGTAACCTGAAGCGTCTGTAACCCGAGGTACCACTGTATTGAATAATGCTTTCCATAAATTTACCAAGAACAGAACTGATTTCCTGGATTCCCAGATCTCTCGATAAAAATTGGTTTTGCATTGCTCTGTGAGGCACTTATATTTGTATCTTAGGCAGACAGAGGACGGGTTTGTTCCCAAACCCCCAAACTTTAGAACAAAATCATGTTTTATTCTTTACTGTTTGTTATTCAGATTTTACCAATTATTCTGACTTCGGTAAATGCACCTTTTCCCAAATACTGCAGGCAGGCGTGCAGCTAACACAAAACAATAATTAAAGATTTCAGTGCCAAGCATCTACCCCAGACAGTCATACATTTGCCAACATTGCTGGCTCAACTTCAGTCCTTTTGTAGGACACACAGGACTGTGACAAATAATGGCTGTTTTCCAGGTCTTCCTTTTGTGTGAGATGAATTTCAAGTAGGAAGTTCAACAAGCTTAGATGCGTTTTATATTGTCAGCTTATAGATTTAAGAGAATATTTAAAGCACCCACGAGATGCAGGGCAACAATTTTTTAAAGGAACTGTCACAGTTAAAATGGGTTTGTGGGGTGTGTGTGTGTAAATACAACGGAAACTAACGCAGCCAACGAGATCCGAATTAACATTTAAACCTTGATTGCATGAAAGCCGAAGGCCTGCTCATTCGATTCAGTCTCTCTATTTATACTTTGCCTCATCTCATTTGCATTTAATTTCATAGCATAGGCTGCTGTGGCCCTGTCCAATGCAAATGAATAGGGACACACACTCAGGTTATTCCATATTACTCTATGTAGCCACGTTGCCAGGTATAGATTTCCGAGTCAGATTGGGATGGAATGAGCATGGGAACGTCACAGTTCAAGCACACATTCCAGCCAGGCAAAAGCACTGGAGAAGCACCAGGGACGGGCACGGTCTGGGCAGAGGGGGTGTATCTGGAGAGAGTATTGAAGGCCAAATAGAGGGACCTGGATAGCCACTCTTGGCTCCCTGGCCTGAGGTTCCTGACCTCTGATCCACAGCAAGTTAATAGAGCTTTCCCACAGCATACGTCATAGCTGGCATTCCAAATTGTGCATTTATCATTCTGTTCCTGCCTTCTTACATAGTCAGTAGCAAGATCATTGATTCAATTATGCAGTGTTGCTTTTCTGTAAAAAGCTATTATAAAATTGAAAATTTTACCTAGAGTTCCAACTTTCTCATCCATCTTCCTATTTTAATTACTCCATCCATGACGCAATTTAAACAAACAAAATAAGATAAGATGATTTATACGGCACAATAAGTGCCAAAACATCTTCCTCTACTCGGTTTTGGTATGATAAAGAAGTTGCCAAATGGATTATACTAAGCCAAGAAAGTCTTGCTGTCAGCCAAGGTCCTACAAGGAAGGGAAAATATTTGGAAACAAACAAGTTCCACATTCTAGATTATGATTGGTAAAGAAAAAGCGATTGATATGTGTTGTATATGCAATATAACATTCTGCCACCATTCTGCACTGTGGAGTCCCGTTTTTCTCTACTTGTTTTCCCTGTTTACATTTACAACACGTTTAACTGAAACACTTCTTTGATGTGTCCAGATCCAGCCTTTGTATAAAATCAGCATGTTAAATTAACTGCACCTCAGTCAGCAATTGTCTGCAATACAGATTAAGTGAAATAGCTTGAAATGAGTTTGGATAGCCCAAGAGGGCCTTAGACTTTCCAGCTCCATGCCCCATGTCCAAATGTTTTGGAACTGCAGAGTGGGTAAAAATAAAAATTTTGCTTTCTGCAATTAGTCGTGAAGGGGAAACTGTTCAACTTTTAAAAGCCAAACATTCCCCCAGGTTAACAACAACCCCCTGATAGGAACTTTAGCAATTCTTTGGATTCTGATTATAATATAAAACAAAATTGCATCTCAATATTGAGGAGGTTTTGCAATTTTACAAAACGTTCCATGCTTCCCATGTTGGAGGTCACAAATGTATCCCTGTGGAAAACATAAGGCAATGCTTTCGTCATGGCATAACATGTCAGGAATAATCCACACACCAGTTACAATTTAATTTCCTGCTTGACTGGATCTCATACTACGTTTTCTTGTATTGGTACCTTTGTGAATATACGTATATTTCATTTGAGCAATAGGAAGAAACTCACAACAATTCAGTTAGCCTGACATGGAGAAATGTCTCTATTTAAGAGTGAAAACTGTTCTCACCTGTATCAAGTGTTTATTTTGGTGCCATCCCATTTTGAAGTCCTTATATCCATATCAGAAGTTCCATTTCTCTTCTTATTGGCTCAGATAAAAGCTCAGCTTTGCAGATAAGTATCTGGTGCGCAAATGAGATATGAGAATCTTTCCTTTTTATGGAGTCTTTCTGGCAGAACTTGCAGTGACAGCATCTTACTTAGGGTAGAACTATTCTGGGGGAGGGGACAAGTTTGCATTGTGATAAAACTGTTTTTCTTACTGAATAAGCAGAGTAGTAGTTCAATGGGTCATGAAAATTGTGTTTTCTAAATGTTTGTTCTCGGGGATAGGGTGTTTTGCCACTGCGCTTGAGGGATCGCTGCACGTACTCTCCTCAAAACAAAGATATATATGTGTCACTGTCCATCACTACGGAGACATGCTGCAATAAAATAAAATGCAAAGGAGAGTCATATTCTACAGCTCTGAACCGCTTCAGGTTTCTTTACACCTTTCACAGGAACATGGGATATAACTTGTATTTATGATCTAGAGTTCCTGAGATGCAAGAGTGTCACAGACTTTTCACCTAAAAATAACCCTTAAATGTCTATTCAGAAGGGAGATCCTTATATGCATCTGTGGGCACAAGTACCTGCTGCTGGCTATGAAGATACCTAGCCTGGAACTTAAGATGCCCTGAGAGTTAAGCCACTGTAGTGGTAATGCAAAACATAGAAGGCCAGGAGTGCCGGGTGGTGAAATTTTTCGTAGGTTAGGGCCAGAGGTGCCAGCTTGTGAAAACAATGGGGGGCGGCTCTTGGACGCCATCAGACCTCCCTCCCTTAGCCAGGAAGAAGCTTCCCAGATTTTGGGAAGGAGGTGCCAGGCTTTAATGCTTTAATATTCTAATTTACCAGTGACATTTAGGGGACTAGCATAGTCTGACTACATGCCACTGAAGGCCAGGGTTCAAATCCAGACTCAGACATGAAGCTCACTGTGCGGCTTTGGGCCAGTCATGTTCTCTCAGCCTACCTCACAGGGTTACTGTGAGGATAAAATGGAGAGGGTGGGGGAGCATGTAGGCTTCTGCGAGGTCCTTAGAGGAAAAGTGGAATATAGTAGTAGTAGTAGTAGTAACCATCATCACATTTCATCGAACTCGTTGGGACATTCTGTCACATAATGCTGACATTTCAACAATATTATGAAGCCACCTCATGCACTAACGGCAACTTTAGGGCCCAGGTGCCAGCGCCAGGGCTGTTGGTGGGTGGAGACTTTTGTGATTAGTTCTATATCTCCACCAAGCACCCTACACTTGGGGAGAAATTTGAGGAATTATATATGTTCAAGTTTCTGTGATTAAGCTGTTCAGCGCTGCACCGTGTTAATGGACAAACTACCCCAGGGTAATCGGGGCACGACCCTTCAGTTTGGCCTATGCAAATGAAGAAGTGGAAATAGGCAGATAGGATTCTCAGTCGCTTCCCTTAAACCATATCTGACAAACAAAATTGAGTACCGTGCATTAGGATCGGGGTTGGGGAGCAGCTCCAGCGGTTTCAATCCTATTGCATCAAATCCCTTACCTGAACATACTGTTCTCCCTAATTTGAACCAAGACAAGTAGATAATTAACACATAATGATGCACATCATTTTTCAACCAGGAGTCAAATGCTCAAATATCAGGCTGCCTTTAAACTTGGACTAGTTAATCAGAAACATTGTGAATTTGAAAGGCCTAATAAAAAAGGCCACAGTTGCTAAGCTTCAGACTGTCATTGCATATATAATTTCTTGTTTTGGAGAGCCTGTCATTGCTGGTAAAGGTTTAAATTGTGAGTGAGACACCAAGGTGAATGGAATGAATGCAAGGAAACGACCCTAGAATGAGACTGACTTGCCCCTTTAAATTACATCAAAAAATTCAAGTAATCATTCAGTCAAAGAATCCTTCATTTTCTGAGCCAAATGCAATCTTAATACTATGCATACTGATTATTTGGTCGAGAGCAAAAATTGCAGAGTTTTGTTCTACATGCTTTTAGAGCAAAACTACATTGTTTGTCTTTTTGCAAAATTCTGTCTAGTAGTAGATCTGTGCCAGGAAATAGCAATGCTGACACTAGGTGAATAAATTTTCTTTGAAATCCAGGATCAAATCTTCTGTGAAATACACAACCTGCCAGAATGTCATGTGTAGGGCACCATATCCCTCCTTCTCATCAAGGTTATAGTTCCCTCTATTCTTGTGAAACCAACCAATCAGCTGTATGCAACAAAATCCTTGCATACACACAGAGAGCAATCCTAACACAACTACACTAAACAAAATATTCCCTGAACCCGCATATGTTCATCCACTCCCTGCAAGAAGCTTCCTCCCAGGGTAATTTAAGAAAAAATGGTTCTTAAATTACAATTTCTCAACAATTATAAGACACCCTCTCTCCCAAGGGATTATTCTGCCTCAAGCAGTTCCATCCATTAAAACCCTAAGCCTCCCATGGGCAAATTGTTAGGCACCTCAATGTTGTGAAGCCTACAGAAGGGATAGCGGAATATGGCTTGAGGGCCATATTCCCTTGTAGACAGCCTTCTGGGGGCCACATGCCAGCTGT